CTTGCCAATGATGTAGGAAATACCAGGTGTAGTGATGTCGCTGTCGCACTGCCATAACAAGTCTTCATCTTTGCCAAAGAAAACTTCACCAGAATATGAAAAAATCGCTTAGAAAACATATTTTCTGCAGGTCCATAAATTACTGCGTCTAATAGCACATTTTGCATACTTCTGTCGACAATAGCGATGCAATGACGAATGGTAGTGTCATTTGGTCAATTTAGCTATCATGCGGAGTATGATTTATTCAATACGTACCTCGACAGGATAGTTGAAAGGTATACTCTGCCGCTGATGCATTGCAGGGATTTCAAGAGCTTACGATGAGATGTGGGTCGTTTAGTAGTTCAATAAAACTAACCCCAGTAAAGCATCTTGATAGAGCCAAAAATAGTTATACGAAGAAAAGTTGGATTTCGAGGAATCTCTTATTTCATAATTGTTGAGCCTACTTCCATTTCGAGTGGAAGTGTTGGGTGAAGAGATTCGAAGGTCGGTTATACCAGAAGACGACGGCGGATTTCTCTTGACCAGCTGTCGATTGGCTCTATTAGAAGATTCATGCTGACGCTGTTTCCGAGGTAATCTGCTTCGATTCCGGTGAAAAGGTGCTGAGCTTTCGTCCCTCATATGACGAACATCATCAGATCAGGATATCATCCTTACAACCAAATTCAAGCTAACAAGTCAAGTTTTCTTGACTCCTATATGACGCAAGAAAAATAGGCTCATCAACAAAACCAGACGTGTCCGACCTTGCGCAATCGGAGTGATGGTTATAACTTATATTCGTATGAGAGTAGGGTTTCGAGACTACCACTTAAATGTAGAATGGGGGAGATAGGGATCATCAAACCTTGATGGCCAAATACAGACGTTCCTTTTAGCTGTCCTAATTACTTTGAGCCATTACTTCGGGTTTCGTGCATAAGCGAACACAAAAATGCACATACAAATACAGAGATAGACACACTCACATGCATCGAAGCTGACATATAACCTTAACTAACCAAATCACTTTATACTTGATCAAAGAGGCCAGATGTATAGTATATACCAAAGTTTAGGGATTTGCCGGTGAGTTTTCTTGACTCGTTAGCTTGAATTTTGTTGTGACGATGATACCTTGCTCCTTTATGATGTCCGTCATATGACGGACCTTTTCACCGGAATCGAAGCCGATTACCTCGGAAACAGCGTCAGCTTAAATCTTCTATTAAAGCCAATCGACAGCTGGTCAAGAGGAATCCCCCGTCGTCTTCTGGTGGAACCGACCTTCGAATCTCTTCACCCAACACTTCCACTCGAAATGGAAGTAAGCCCCAAAATAGTTGTTGGTGATCCTTTTATCTCGGCCGTAAGGAGTTTGATTTCTACGACCTGCACCAGATTCGTATGACTTTAGAGGAGTAGATGCCTACTGACCTTTCACTTCAGTAATGTATCATGTTACAGGGCACAAGATCCTCATATCATCCCTTAAATAACTATTTTATAACTCAAGAATGACTGATAGTCTCAAAAACTAATTTCAATGAAAATAGACACTGCTTTTGCATGAACTGGCAAATAAAACTTTAATTTTCACTATAAATGCGATTTGAACAGGGCTTGCCTACATCGAAAGTCATATCTGCCCTATGAACCACTGAAATCTCTGAATGCTGGCGGATTGGCAAAATGTTGTCGTAATGCATACGAAACAGATTTGACTCAAGTGTGAAATGCTGACAGGACTTAATTGAGGCTGAAACTGGGGTTCAGCCTGGATGAGAAAGCCTTTAGGGAAGCAAGGCTAAGAGAAATAAAATGGCATCTTGAGGACTGATAGTTTTAATTTGGGATAAACTCCATCAACACCTCCTTAATCACTTTTAATGACTCAGAATAGCCAAGTAATGAATTAAAGAAGCTCAGCACAAATGTGAGTCCTGGAAGCGATGGGGCTGGGGTCGTGTCGCCTTTATCGGTGGTTACAATCGCCCTAGAGCTACGATTAGATGAGGATGAGATTGAAATCCATTTCCAATTAGATCAACCTATTGGAACTCATTTACTAGTGAATTTCAATTAGAATTCAAGTCTTTTCCTCAATTATTTATCAGTTTATATAAGGCCATACGTGTTTCCTTTCAGAGTTGACTGTGATTTTTCTCTTTTCCCTACACTGCTTGCATCCGGATACATGGCTCAGATCTGAATATGTTGCTATTGACTGGCGATGGAAGCTTTTTTCGAAACTTAGTCATTCTTGAATTAGGACTTAGTCATTCAATGTTAGTTAAAGTAATTTAAAGGCTGAAAGTTGAGATCCCAACCAAGAATGTCTAATCTTCTGAGAGATATTCACATTAAAATATGTAATGACCTCAATTGCAATATAAATTACATGCTTACCTCACCGGAAATCCCACAATAGAACATGTGGTTTGACAGAGGCATGGCCTGATTTGGAAATCATACCTTCGCTTGGATCCACTGATGCCACGAATCTCACAAATCGGTTTTGTATCACGTTAGGAGTACTGATCTGACCCAAGCGAGGTCGCAACTGTCGTCCAGCCCAGATGAAATAATCATTAGGAAAGTGTGGCTTATTGAACTCCAATGCTGTCGTAAGATCAACCCATTTCATTCGGGGAAAGTCATAAAATCACCCTAAACGACCTAGCGAAAACAATCTTTTATGCCACCATTAAGTTACGCGATCCAAGAGACTTTATATCCTAGTGTTAATGTAAAGTTGAGAGCAAGGTAATCCTCCGATGCTTACCTCTACGTTTGGAAATTTCGAGATGGAAATTGTTGTATCGCTCTTGAATTTTCGAAATCTATATGTGCCTTAGCCTATCAAAAAGGTCACCTGGGGGTATGAGTGCATGTTCTCGTCTTAATCTTTATTGTCTTACAAGTGTCACTAGCACGATATGTGCATGAAGCTAAACTATATTTTTTGGAACTCTGTATTTATATGAGCCGCATCCACCTTATTTCTTTTAAGGGGATTAAGGACTAATAGTAGAATTTTCCCACAATCCTATGAGTAGAGCTGACGTTTCCATTGAGTTTCACATAGTCTTGCTTTCCAAAAAGTTGTTATCATCCAGCGGAGACTGTAGTTTCGACCTGACTTTGGTCTTATCAACACCCATAGCGGGAGTCGAACCGTTACAGTGCAGAATGGGAACTTGACACGTAAACCACTCGTCAACATGGCAACGAGTTACCTTGGGTCACAAGGCAGATGCGAATTTTAAAGAGGGCCAGACATTTTTTCATATCACATTCGTTGGTGGGAAGGTATATGAAGCAAAGCTATAGTTGCTATAACAATCGACTACATAACTTATTTTTCGTATATAAACGGAGTAAATCATTTATATGAAATGTAATTATTCTATTTAATTTAAGGTGATGAAGTTCGACTGGTTATATACGAAAAATAAGAAATGTGGTCTATTGTTACGGCAAAAATACGTTTGCTTCATCGAAAATCACACCAAAGAATGTGAGATGGGAAAAGGCCTGATCTTCCTTGAAATTCACATCTGCCCTATAATCCAAGGGCACTTGCGGCAATGTGGCTAAGTAGTTGACGTGTCGAGTTAACACGCTGAACTCTCATGGTCCGAATCCTGCTGGGGGTCACAATTACAGTCCACTGGTACCTAGATAAGAAAGATTTTTGGGAAAGCAAGGCTATATGAAATTGAATGGAAGCGTCAGCTATACTCATATCATTTTGGGAAAATTCTACTACCAGTCTTGCATCATTTTAAACGAAATATGGTGAATATATCTCATATTACTGATTTTGAGTGATAGTCTCGAAACTCTGTATATACACGAAAAATAAGCATGTATTTATATTTCTCTCATGAACTAATTATTGCTTGCATGACCTTGTTTTTAGAGCGAATTCGATTTAGATGGGTTTATACGTGTTTTTAAAATGATCGCTTAAGGACATCACAACAGTACTGAAATCAAAATCATTATTAAGTAAATGTTGTATGTTATCGAGTCAACCCAAGCATCTATGCCAATTGAAAGGGTTGGACTTTACCTCGATTATTTACTTGACTCCACTAGTTATTTGCTTCACGAACAAGTGGTTTAATCGGTCATGTGTCTACTATGCTGCTCACTACTCAGGCTCATGTGTTTCTGTATATGTCAAGCAGGCTTCAATGAGGCTGAATCAACTGTCCATTTAAGCGGTAGAATGGGCAGAGGATGAAAGAAGGGAAGTTATTCACTGACAAAGAGAAATATTGGCTCTGATTCTGCCTGACTGGCTCGATCTCCAAGTGACTACTTGCTAAAGCACCCACAATGTGATTTCGCTCTAGTTAATTCCACCCTCTTTTTTGCCAATGTTTCGATAAAATTGCATTTTATTAGCTCACTTGCATATTGGAGGCCTAAAAGAGCATACAGATGTTTTATAGGTTGTAATAATATTTAGTCCATTCCTTAATGTGCGCAAAGTTCTGTGTTCTAGTGTATGCGCCGGCAAAGTTTTGAGTTGAATTAGCATACGGTAATTGTGGCTGCTGAGCCCAAACGATTACTAATTTATTATGAAATCGCAACTTCTAGGGCCATAAGTTGAAGAGATTCGGTAGAGGAGTATCTCTAAAGTTAAAAATAGTTTTCTCGATAGCATAGCGCGCTTGATGACGAAATATTTTAATCATCTTGCCTAATTCCTGTCTACCATTACAACCCTTTTTGGAGAGCCAAAGCCAAGAGCTGCTCAGTACCATGGATCCACGATGTCCTTTGTCATTGTGTTGTGAACCGTTATGCATAACGGTTACTATTAGTTAAAATCAATTATTACCTCATCTTTATCCTCGATTATACTTCTGCATATTAAAGATTAGTTTTTAACTAGTTCTCACATTGTTAAGTACAAACTAATTGGCACATTTTCTTACTTTCACCATACCACTTTATCCTCACTGTTCGTCAAGCCTCACAGAGACAATTCATTCATGTTCCGGGCCAAACCAGGGAAGCCGAAATCCTCAAACTGCTACAGCAATCTCTTGGAGATGATATCCTCTCCAACTCAGTCGATGGCGACCGCATCGCTGGCATGGGAGCCGACGGCAGGAGTCATGGCGGAGGTGGGCTGCTGCTGCATTCCGACCAAAGCGATAAAGAACATGACAAGAGAAGTAGGCAAATTATTTTTGAGACAACTTTGGTTTGCATAGAATACCTTTGCATTCTAAATTGTGGGAAGCCATTAATATCCTATTAAAATATATGATTTAAATACAAATATTAAGTCAATTATGGTAAAGCCCTTAGGTTGGATACAGGCTCCTTTGCTGCGTAGAACAGGTACAGTCTCGTTTTCCCAACTTGGTTGGGGTGTCAGACGCAACCATTATCGCGTCCACTAACATGATTTTTATGATATCCTCTAGCATCAGACCGTAGACTTGGTTTATTTACTTAATTTTCGTATCAGAGTAGAGTTTCGAGATTACATAAATTATTTTTCGTATATAAACGGAGTAAATCATTCATATGAGATGCAATCATCCTATTTCATTTAAAGTGATAAAGTTCGACTGGTTATCTACGAAAAATAAGTAATGTAGTCTATTGAGATGTATTCCCCCTATTTCGTCTAAGCTGATGAAGGACTGGTAGTAGAATTTTCCCACAATGGTATGAATTGAGCTGACGTTTCCATTGAACTCTACTCCAATACGAAAATGAGTAACATAGTCGATTGTTATAGCAAATATAAGTTTGCTTCATCGGCACTACCACCAAAGAATATGATATAGCAAAAAAAGGCCTGACTCGCCTTGAAATTCACTTATGCCCTGTGACTCAAGGGTACTCGTGGCAGTGTAGCCGAGTGGTTAGCGTGTC